ACACACACCATATATATACCACACGTACACACACAAATTCATTGAATCTGGAACTTGATCATAGAAGTACTCTTGTAGGCCAACAAGTGTAAACCCATCTCCAATCCCAAGAATGATGAACTAAGGAGCTAACCAGAACACGCTCATAAACAAATAACCAGAGAAATTCCCCAACCCAGAGAAATTCCCAGACAAACCTTTCTACAGAAATTCTCTCAACCCAGAGACATTCCCAAAAAATACAAAAAATACACACAGAGAGAACATACATCTAAGTATATATGTACAAATCAGTACAGATCAGAAATTTGAGTAATACACAAAACTTGTATGACAGCAATTTGCCAAACAAAGCCAACAAAACCCTCAGTCAAAAGGATCATTCACAGAAAAAATTTTTGTAAACATAAACAAAAAACGTAAACGTTATCAAACACTATGTTAATTTTCTACAAACCAAAAAAAATGACTACAAACTATGTTCCCAAAAGAGGCCAAAGAGTGGAGTTGAACATTGTGAAAAAACACAAGATCACAAGAGTAGGCAAATAGTGGAGTTGAACATTGTGAAAAAACACAAGATCACCAGTGTAGGCAAATAGTGGAGTTGAACATTGTGAAAAAACACAAGATCACCAGTGTAGGCAAATAGTGGAGTTGAACATTGTGAAAAAACACAAGATCACCAGTGTAGGCAAATAGTGGAGTTGAACATTGTGAAAAAACACAAGATCACCAGTGTAGGCAAATAGTGGAGTTGAACATTGTGAAAAAACACAAGATCACCAGTGTAGGCAAATAGTGGAGTTGAACATTGTGAAAAAACACAAGATCACCAGTGTAGGCAAATAGTGGAGTTGAACATTGTGAAAAAACACAAGATCACCAGTGTAGGCAAATAGTGGAGTTGAACATTGTGAAAAAACACAAGATCACCAGTGTAGGCAAATAGTGGAGTTGAACATTGTGAAAAAACACAAGATCACCAGTGTAGGCAAATAGTGGAGTTGAACATTGTGAAAAAACACAAGATCACCAGTGTAGGCAAATAGTGGAGTTGAACATTGTGAAAAAACACAAGATCACCAGTGTAGGCAAATAGTGGAGTTGAACATTGTGAAAAAACACAAGATCACCAGTGTAGGCAAATAGTGGAGTTGAACATTGTGAAAAAACACAAGATCACCAGTGTAGGCAAATAGTGGAGTTGAACATTGTGAAAAAACACAAGATCACCAGTGTAGGCAAATAGTGGAGTTGAACATTGTGAAAAAACACAAGATCACCAGTGTAGGCAAATAGTGGAGTTGAACATTGTGAAAAAACACAAGATCACCAGTGTAGGCAAATAGTGGAGTTGAACATTGTGAAAAAACACAAGATCACCAGTGTAGGCAAATAGTGGAGTTGAACATTGTGAAAAAACACAAGATCACCAGTGTAGGCAAATAGTGGAGTTGAACATTGTGAAAAAACACAAGATCACAAGAGTAGGCAAAGAGTTGAACATTGTGAAAAAAAACAAAAATGAAAAAGTTCTCTTCTTTTCATCCTTTAAAAAATAGAAGAAACAAACAGATACTGTAGATCAAGAATTTGCATAGATTTGAACATTCACAAAATAGAAATCAAAAAGTAATATTATTTTCATCCTTTTAAAAAAATAAAAAAATATACGAAACAGAGATTGTGGATCAAAGCATGCATGAAAAAGTTAAAGATTTTTAACCCCACCACCCACCACACCATGTGCTTGGGCAAGCATAATGACAATCTCCACATTATACTACCTCAAATAGAACCCACATGGCTCCTTCATTAGTTTAATCTAATATTTGCATATTATAGTTTAAACTATACTTCATTTTTGGTTTTACTTTGATCTAACTTGTTTTTGTGAACAATTCATATTGATGTACAAACTGAATAAAAAATTCAATATACAACCATAAAGTGAACAATTCATGCTATGTATATTAGTAATTATGTGTAACAAATAAAGAATACTCTAACTGTATATATGATTAAAGCAAATTGACTTTAACACATCAACTTCATATATAACATATACAAAATGAAAAACATTATACAAATTCATAAATTTTATAAATTATTCTTAATAATTGATATATCATGTACTAATAAAATTTTTAAAATTAAAGCATGAATTATGTCAATGATGTAATAGGTGTTATACTAGTAGTTAATTTTTTTTTATAATACAAATTTATTAATTTATATAACATTATCAATTTAAAATAGGGATAATTGGTGAACAGTCCACACTTGGTGAACAGTCCACACTCATGGGGCCATATGTTATTTGGTTCATGAAAAATTCCAAATTCCAGTTCAAATAAACTCTTAGTTATGTTACTCATAAATATCTGAATTCATGAATTTCATAAAATGATTTTCAATTTTCAATTCTCAATTATATGAATTTCATAATATGACATTAACAATTATCAATTATATGAATTTCAATTTTTTTAATTTTATTCTTAGTTAAAAAAAATTACTTTTAAAACCCTAATTTCAAAACCTAATTTCCTTTTAATTCCTCTTAACAAGCAACAAATAAAATTTCCATTTCAACAAATATAGGTTGATTTATACACAATTCAAAATTCCAAAAAAAATATAGACATTTTGATTCACAAGCATAATTTCAAAATTCCAATTTCTGCTTTCAAATATCAAAATATAGACATTTCATAATTCCAATTCAACAAATATAGGTGAAGAAGATGATTTTGTGTATAGATCAAATATAGACATTTAGCTCAAAATGTCTATATTCCAATTCAACAAGTATGGCATCTAGCTCAAATATAGGTGAACAAATATTGGTGAAGAAGATGTCTATATTTTCTTCAGAAGATGATTTCGAAATATAGACATTTCAAATTATTCAGAAACATAATTTCTGATTTCTAATTCAGAAGCAAAATTCCAAACCCTAACATTTTCACAACACTGATAAAAAACCCTAACAAATTACAACCAACACATTTAATAATTGACATTTAAAACCCTAACATTCACATTTTCACAAACACACATTCACAAAACACACATTCACAAACACAATAAATAAATACATAAAATTCAGAAAAAAAGACAGAGCCATACCACGGAGACAGAGACAGAAACAGAGAGTGAGAGCAGTGGAAGAGCGAGAGCGACAGTGACAGTTGAGCAGAGGGAGATCGAGAGAGAGAGAGAGTGAGAGAGATCGAGAGCAGAGGGAGATCGAGAGCTGAGGGTGAGAGAGCAGAGGGAGATCGAGAGGGAGATCGAGAGCTGAGGGTGAGAGAGCAGAGGGAGATCGAGAGTTGAGTGTGAGAAGTGTAAAAAACGTGGCTTGGGTGTTCTTTATTGTGTCTGAAAGCGTTATTAGAAATGGCGAGTTTGTAAGTGCACAGTGAAGGCGCTATTCGGAATAGCGTTTTCTTCACAAACCAAATGAAGCGCTATTTGCAACAGTGAAGACGCTATTCGGAATAGCGTTTTCTTCACAAACCAAATGAAGCGCTATTTGCAACAGCGTTTTCTTAATCAAACTCGCTAATTGGAATAGCGATTACACTGTTCATCAAATTTCGACCTCCTCACAGTAAAAGCGCGAATGGGAATGGCCCTTCAGCTTATTTTGGGAATTTCGTCAGAAGTTGGCCTAGTTTGAGAAATAAAATGCAAAATAGGCTTATTTTGGGAAAAAGCCCTTCAATTCAACCTCCTAAAAATGATTCCACGCTTGGGTAGACTTCTAAAGTTTGAAAGTTGTAGTCCATTGAACAATAGAGCAAGTAGTAAACAAAGTTGTAGTCCATTGAACAATAGAGCAAGTAGTGAACAATGAGCAATACAGTAAGGCCTCGTTTGGGAAGGCTATGTTTTAGCTAAAATGTCAAAAAATTATTAAATTAGCCAAAAAGTTAGCAACTCATACAAAAAAGTTAAAGATTCTTTTTTTTCTCTACTTTTTGCATATCTTTTCGTAATTAGCCAAAAAGTCATCCTAAACATTCTACTTTTTGCATATCTTTTCGTAATTAGCCAAAAAGTCATCCTAAACATACTAGTTTTTTTTAGCTCATATTTTAGTCAAATAGCCAAAAAGTTACTAAATTAGCCTGTTCCCAAACGAGGCCTAAGTGAGAAATAATAGAAGAAGTGAAAAATAAAAATAAAAATTAGGATTTTATTTTTTTAATAAAAAAATGTGCACTGATTTTTCATTTTTCAAAAATATGTACCAAAAAAAAACTTTAATTTAATATTAAAGGTGTGTTATGATCTCTATTATAATTATGTTTCATTAACAGGGATGTAGAAATAAAATTAGTCCGAAAATAATAGCGTGGGAGTGATTTACCCAATTAGGATTTATTAGTGTGACATCTAAGTTTGGTATTGTACGCGATGCCAGCAATGGCGACCCCGAAGCTCTTACTATCAAAGCTTCTTCGTCGTCGCTCTTCTCCAACTCTTTCTTCCCTAATCTCGTCTTCTTCTTCTTCTTCTTCTCACACTTGTTCGCATTCAAACCTCTTCGATCAATCTCACAACCTCACATCCCCAAAACGCTTTCTTCCCCTTCCACCATCGACTCTGCACTCGCTCTCTCCTCACTACAATTTCTTGTGTTTCCGCTTTCTCTCCACTCGTGACTCGGAATTCGGTCCGAGTCTGGACTCGGACAATCAGTCTGATGAGTTTTCTAGCCTAGGGTTTGCTGGTGGTGGTGGTGGTGGTGGTGTTGATGATGATGGTTTGGACGTTGCAGAGGCGCTGGTTAGTGCTTCTGCTTCTGCTGGTGATAGCAGCGTTGCGGAGTCGATTCTTCCTGTTCGTGCAGTGGTTTCGTTGCTTGATTATTGCCATGACTTCACTGGATTGCCTTGGTGCGTATATTCACTTTTGTTGAACACTTCGGGATTGGTTGCTTTGAAAATTGGGTGGAATATGAAAATTTTTAATTTGAAATTGGAATTAAGGAAATACAAGGTACCATCTAAGGCCATGTTTGATTACCGATACTAATAGTGAAGAAATTAATACCCATCAAATTAGTGTGGTATTCACTGGGATAAATTATCCTCTTGTCCATTGTTTGATATGCATTGAATTAGTAGGTAAAAGACTCTTTTTATTTTATTTCCTTATATATAATCTCACCCCTACACCATTACTAATAATCTTACAAATTTATTGGATTATTGGATTAATAATCCTAAAACAAATTTTTAAAACAAACATTATTGAGCCCACGGATTAATAATTACAATCCCATACTCTAATCTTGTCAATCAAATATGCCCTAAGGCTTTTAGTTTGCAGGATTAATTTTTTTTTTAAGTTAAAACAAAATGTTCGTCTTATTGTGTATGTCATTGTTAGAGATTGTGGGAGGAACATTCAATAACTTGGTCTGTGGACTATCATTCACTCAAGGATGAAACTATGTATATTATACTTTAGTAAGATAATTTCAAACTAGAGTACTTTGCACCCTCAAAATTTCAGTGCTTTGCACTCTCAAAATTATAAAGATTCACTACTCCAAATTATTTACATTACAAAATTTTAAAAATAGTTTCCAAATCGAGTTTTACCAAATATTAATCTATTATTCTATTTGTTATCTGTGTTATTTCTTATATTTATGTATTGTTTAAAGTTACTTATATTCTTCTGTTTGTTATTGTTCTTGTTTTATGCTCATATATGTCATTTATGTTGTTTTTTTTTCCTTCTATAAATTACACTTTAATTTGCTTATGCACCTTATTTTGTATTCATTCCTCTGTTCATCCATTCTCTAGAAATAGGAATATTGTCCGGAAATGAAAATATTGTTTACATTCAACATGTCATTCTTAAAATTGATTTCATAAAATTTAATACCGTTTATTAAAATGAATTATCATTTTACCCCTACAAATATACATTTTCAACTATAAAAATTTTCAAAACTAAACTGCGTAACAAGATGTAAAATGATTTTGTAACAAGTTATTTGATCACATTTGTTGGAAAAGATATAACTTAAGGTTTTGATATTGAGTATATCATAGATGTTTATATATATATATACTACAAAAAGTGGTGATTATATGGCTGATTATATTTTTGTTCTCAATTATGTTGACAAAGAATGTTCGATTGATAGTAATATTATTCACTTTTTTATGCTAGTATAAATCAAAATATAAAATTTTTATAATAATTTTTTTTTTTGATCAAAAGCTACATGTATTTTTTGCCCACCCAAAGTTCGAATCCTAGATCCGTCCCTACATTCACTACAACTAGAAATGTTGTTAATTGTTTAATTAGGGACAAAGAATACTTACTCAGGGCAGCTGCGTTACATGGACTCTTCTATTCTCCAAAGTACAAAAGTAGAAGTGTGAGATATGTGTGTGAGATATGTGTCTGACACTGTATTCAATTTAGACACTTGTATCTTTTAATTTTTTACATTGTTTGAAAAAGAAGAAACTCACATTTGTTAGGTAAAAAAAAATTTTAGTCTCACATATGACAAGATGGAAGAGATAGAAATTCCATATTATCACTACATCCTATTTAATTTCAATATTTCTCCATAATTTTTACCACATTTTATCTAAAAATATCATACAATATGCAAGATATATGTAAGTGTTTATGATCAGTCCTTATAACCATGTTCAACTTACCATTAGGTTTATAAATGTGTGACACTTGAAGTTGCACCTGATACCCATAAAAAAAAAAAAAAAAAAATTATATATATATATCCCAACATTTAGGTTTATAAATGTGTGACAGTTGAACTTGCATCCGATAGCCGTACCCAAGTCCATATAACATAGCAGTGGAGGCATTAATTACGTACAGTGCTTAACTACTGCTATAATTTGTTGTTTGTGCATCTCTATAATGTGAACAACTTGATCTAACCCTGCTGTAACCATGGTTTTGAGTCTTTTAACCTAGTTTATGAGCAATTTTCATAACTTTTAGGATTCGTTTGGGATGTAGGTTGGCTTTTTGGCTATTTTAGTCTGGGGCTAAAAGCCTCATTTGGGATAAGTTTTTTGGTTTTTTTGACTTTTGTGAGAGAAAAAATGAAATGATTATGGTTTGGATGTGACATTTTGTCTTATTGGACTAAAAAGCCTATTTTGTCTTTTTGTGGCTATTTTAGCCAAAAAGTCCCTATTGAGCTTATGCCAAATGAGGGCTTAGTTGAATTGATGTAAGTCTTTGAAAATTTTACATATTTCCAACTGTTTTTTAAGTTGCTATTTTTGATTCTCTCTTTTTTATTGCAGAAGATACATTTTCGTGTCTTGATAATTACATATCTGATGCAGGAAACATACATTGTAACTATGATTTTTCTTCTACTTTTTTTGTGTGTTCTAATGTCCATATCTATAATGAATGACTTTTCAGGTGGGTAATAATTGCTTCTTCAACTTTGGTTCTTAGAATTACATTGCTGCCCATGCTTATATTGCAACTCAAGAAGTTAAAAAAGATTGCAGAATTGTTTCCTAAATGTGAGTCTTTACTTTCTTTAACAATGGATATGAACCTATAATTGTTCCCTTTTTTTGTGTGCGCGCACCTGAGTATAATGTAACCATAAATGTATTTATCAAAAAAAATTTGGAACACTTACTCAACATAGGTCCAAAACCCGACATACCATTAACTAAACTTAATTTTATCCTTGATCTGTTTTTTTTTAAGATGGAATTTTTATCCTTTATCTTTCTCCTTTAGTAGACTCTTGAACTCCATTTTGGACGCTCTTGGCACATCACTTGCACCCAAATCAACTACCATTGTTTTGAATTCATTTGAAAATAATCTACCTGATGAAAAATAAAGAGGCGTACTTGTTTCTGTTTGTGCAGACTGCGGAATAAGCACGTTTGTTAGACATGTTCATGGTTGATTCGGTGGACTAATTTTTTACTATTTAGTGAAGTATGGCTTTAAGACGTGCCAATTTTCATGAGTGAAGTGTCGTTCTTTTTCCAACAATACACTTTACACAGGGTACAAATTACAATGCTTGAATTTAATATATGGGATGACTCCACATGCTCTCCAATGTGGTTTGTACTTTTCCCTTTTTAAGGAAAACTGACTGCCATATGGCTTTAGTTCAATACTGCCCCTTGCCACACCAAGCAGCATAGGGAGTCAATACAAATTCAATGAGGTAAAATGGCGTTTTTTATTAATTATTCCAGTGATACCTCAAGGTCCCTACTAATTGCACCATACTGGTGCCTCCACCGTGTATGCAGTCGACTATTACTACTACTACTGTGGTATGGACATGAATTGTCTGTGTTGCTCTTTCCTCTCTTCCTTCTTCTCATCTTCCCCTAGTTTTCTACACCAGCACATTAATACTCTACATCAGCACATCAATAGAAAAAGTTAGTTGATTATATTCAGTGACTTGTAAAAAAACATGTATCCGATTTGCTGTTATTTACAATGGATTCCATCTACATTTCAGTGAGGTTGGGTATTTAACTTACACATAATTTTTGCTTGACTTTCTTATGCATCTCTTAAAGTGCCTCCTCCATTGCCACCACCTCTCTCAGGAAGAAGTTATATCGACCAACTTTCACTCTTCCGTAAGGAAAAACGATCTGTTGGGTGCCCTTCATATTTATGGTTCCTAGCATATTTTTCTGTCCAGGTGAGAGTTCTCTTCACTCTATGCTGTAGTCTATTATTTAATTCAAAATCATTAATTTCCTTCTTAGAGGATAATTTCAAGGGGCAGTTACCAATTAGTCCTATTAACTAGACCTATTTATATACAGGTCCTGACTAATAATTTTATTACTGTAAATTTATTCATAAAAAGAAGAGAGACTTATCAATAGGACTTAATGGATAATTACTCCCAAAAGTAGGACTTATTGGTAATTTACCCTAATTTTTCAACATCATTAATAATGCAAAATTGCAACAGTATCAGAATGAATGGAACTCTTTGGTAGTGAAATTAAGCTAGCAGATTAGTAGCCACCACCATGCTGCATGCTGGAACACAAGGGAAGAAAATAAAAACAAAAAAAAAAAATTAGGTTTTAGAGAGACTTATCAATAGGACTTAATGGATAATTACTCCCAAAAGTAGGACTTATTGGTAATTTACCCTAATTTTTCAACATCATTAATAATGCAAAATTGCAACAGTATCAGAATGAATGGAACTCTTTGGTAGTGAAGAAATTAAGCTAGCAGATTAGCCACCACCATGCTGCATGCTGGAACACAAGGGAAGAAAATAAAAACAAAAAAAAAAAAATTAGGTTTTTGCATGAAGTACATGATGGAGACCCTTCCCAAGCACCAACTCTCTCTACCCACTTAATTTTAGTATCATAGGCAGCTCTCCTAGCTCCTAGCTCCTCGAACATGAACCCTTCCTAACCGCCCTTTGGCTCTTTGCAAATCTCTCTTGTGCCTACTCCACCCTTGTCTCAGCCCCTCTCCACCATAAGAGCTCAAGAGAGACAAAGAAGAAAGCATTTTGAGTGGAGGATTTAGACTTTCCTGTGCCATTTACAGAAGCACTGAGCCTAGTAATAAAATAATCAGTCTGGGCCCTTCTTTTACTACCACCTTTACTGGCCTTAAGATTTGCACTTCAATCCAAACCACACAGGGGTCATGTTTCACTTTTGAACCATATAGAGTTGTGTTTTGTGTCAAACACCAAGAGGTAAAGTGTAAATTCTCCAATTTTATATGTAGAAGCAAAGAAAAAAGAAAAAAAAGAAAAAAATGGTTTTGTAGAAAAATTGTATTCTGGCATGCTATATTACATAGAAATTTCTTAAGGCTTTATGTTTGCCTTTTGTGCAAAATTTGTGCAGGTCCCATGCTTTTTCTTGTGGATGACAAGCATTCGTAGGATGTCACTTGATCACCATCCGGGGTTTGATTGTGTAAGACACTAGCATACCCAACTTTTACACAAGTCTATGGTCTATTATTTTGTTTACTATTGCTATTGCTAGCTTTATCTCATATTTTGTACTTTCAAGACCATGTTGTGAGTGGAGAAGCAAACTCCTATTAATTGTCTTCTTGGACGTTTCTACAACATAAATAATGTTTTATTGCCTCATATATTTAAAGAGAATTGTGAATTGAATTTTTATGATATGTTGTTTGTTCCAGTAGTTTCCTTATCAAATTTCTACTCTTTGGGTGAAGCCATGCTCACCAATCCGGGATTGAGTTGCGGGAACCCGTTCCCCCACCCCCATCTCTTGAAAAATAAAAAACTTGAAAATCATGTCCACTTGTATTATGTGGCACTCCAATCAGTACTACATATTTTTGTGAAGTAGAATGATTGTATTGCAAAGCTCTGATAGGCAATGGATTTTCTAGGAGTAGGTGCTAGATTAATGCATGTGCTGCCCTAGTATAATAATTTATTTTGGACTGGAAAACTGTACGCTAAGAAGCATAAATAGAATGAGGGAATTGGAGCATTTACTTCAATAATAGCGTAGAGCAAGATCCCAAAACTAATGTGCGTTATGACCGACTGGGATACCATGTCCTCCTTCCATTTCTCACATGGGTAATTTTCTTATGTGAAATCCTTCGCTGATAGGGTAAGTCAATTTTGATAGTCATGCCATGTTATTCTTCTATCCTCTTGAACGGACGGCTGAGGTTTTTCTGTTAAGATAGAGCTAATGTAAGAAGCACGGACACGGACACGTGACACAACACGGACTCGCCGACACGTTAATTTTCAAAAAATACAAGACATGACACTTAGGGGACACGCATGAAATATATAATTTTATATATATATATATATTATTATATGTTATATATACGAATATATCATTCAAATTTAATAAAAAAGGTAATATGACACTAATTCTTATAAATTTATGTAGTTTTTGTTTTATTATTGTATTTTAAGTTGTTTTGTTTAAACTTATAATTAGTTTCACATGTGTCTAATCAATAGACACGTGTGTTTAAGCGATTGACACGTGTCCTCCAAGTGTTTGAAGAGTGTCTAAAGAGTGTCGGTGTCCGACATGGACACAACACGCCACCTACTCCTCACCTACTACACTCACCCTCTCCTATATAATGAGCCACTCACCTACCACCACCTACTCCTCACCTACTACACTCACCCTCTCCTATATAATGAGCCACTCACCATTTGTAATATATACAATCAATACATCAATCAATCAATAATACATCTATTTTCTTACAGAGGCCAGCACAGAGTTTGTTATAAGATGGGTGAGATCTGGGTCCTGGTGTCATTGGCGTTATGGTTACTCTACAGGTGAAATCTTGGATACTGTCATGACTTTAAAGGAGATGTCAGTTAGATTTTTTGTTCTGGGACCTTAAGTTAAATTACCATAAATTTATAAACCATAAGTTCCACCAGCAGCACACAACTGTAAAATAAATATAAATGATTTGAACTACAAAACTTGATTGTATTAGTTTCTAGTCTCTCCTACTTTGGAGTATAACCAAATTTTTTTTTTTTTCTTTCTATCCTCTTTGAATTTGCTTCATTTTGGGCCTATTTAGAGTGCTATTGAGTTAACCTGAGTAGTGAATAGTATTAATTGGTTCATAAAGTAGCAAAAATTGTGGTGAAATGTTGCCATATTTTTGCCATCTGCACTTACATGACAGTGTATGATGTGTTGGAGAATGCTCAACACTTTAGCAAGTTGTAATTTTTTAAGGCTTCTGCAAATGCTTCATCCGGTGCTAACATCAATTTTTTGTTGAATACATTGCAGGGTGGCATTTTATGGTTTGAGAATTTGACTGAATTCCCTCATGGGGTTTTAGGTGCCATCTTTCCACTTCTCATTGCCACTTTGCATTTTGCTAACGTTCAGGTAAATTCATTGCTTTTCTCTGAGTATGACCTTTACTGTTATTGGAGGGGAGGTCTGTGTAATTATGTTAAACTTGTGGGGCTCATTGTATTTTCTCCATTACTTAAAGGAGGTCACTGTAATTGACATTATTTTTACTCTCTCTCTCTCTCTCTCTTCCCTTTTTTAATTGAATGCCTTGCCTTCTGTACTGCTATCCAATTGTATTAAGGATATTTTTTAGGGGTACGTGATGTTACAGACATGCACTGTCTAAAACTCTTTGATCATCTAGATTTGTTGGTGCATTGTTGTATCCAGCAGCTTGTTTTCTTAGTGTTACTTGGGTATACAGTTTTTTTTCCCGACTTTTTTTATTTTATTTTTTTCCCCCTATGATTTTATCAGGTTTCATTTCGGACATCTTCAGTAGGAAAAGTGACTGGCTTGTTCGGCTTATTAGCTCAAGTAAGTGGATGATAGGAGATGTCTGGTAGTTTAAGTTTCATAAATATTGCTATCTTATCATAGATTTATAGTTGAAAATCTTATTAAGCAAGCATTCATATGTTTTTATTAAATTTGTTGAGACTAGTTGCTGCGAAATTTTTTCAAAATGGAGAAACAATCACCTTTGAGAGATTTTCAATTATATAACTCGTGTTATCATCCCCCATCAAAATTCTTGTAAAATCTTTAAACGTGTTTTCCTTTTGTTGCTTATGCTATTTATTGTAGGAAAGTTCTAAGGATTGCCTTTTCCTTGCAGTATTACAAGTTGTACTTGGAAATATTGACACTACCTTTAATGCTCATTGGGTTTTGTGTACCCCAGGTAATTCAATATCTGATGTTCTTCTTATTTTTTTAAGATGATAGGCAATATTATTTTGGATCACTTAAATTCCATATTAGTTTTAACCGTTTCGTTTGTATAGATAGTGTGTACTAGGTTGCACCCCCTTTAGTTGGCCCTTTTTAATACTACTTCCATCTTTATTTATCAAAAAAGAAAAAGAAAAAAATCTTCCCAGTTGAGAAGAATTCTCATTAGTCATTTCTAATGACATTTTTTCTCATATTATCGGTATGTTGATCATGAATGTATTGGGAAAAAGACACAGTAGGCTTAGAAGGATGTACTTCAATGGGTAAAGGTATAAAGTGAATGAGCTGGCAATGGGAAAACCCATGAACAATTTCAAAAGAACTCATATGATATGAGTAATCTGATAGCCTGAACTCTTATAAGCAAATTATACTGTTGCAACACTAAATCCCTATTACCTAGTTTGTCACCTATAATGCATATCCATGTAAATTTCCCAAACTATAATTAAAAACCTCAGTTTGCCATCATTTTGGGGATGCAATGCTGGAGAGAACTATTTAGTCCTAAACAAAATCCAAAGTTTCTACGCTATGAAACTATGCAAGTAACAAGTTTAACATCCTTACCGCACACAATGAAAATAGGTAATCAATGTAGTTTAATAACTCTTCTAAAGAACAACTTAGCTACATTTGATACATATGTTATTTTACTCCAAGGGATAAACTTGGCCATCTTAGAAATGATGTTAGTAGGGGTTGAACCTATGGTGTGATGTGAGTGATTCCATAAAACCTTATTTCTGGGAAGTTAGGAAATCTAAATGCATCTGCTTTTAAATCCTGAATCACCTCTGATATTATTCTGCATACCCAATGCCGTGGAACCAAAAATTAGGAAACAATCTTATGACATATATATTCGCATCTTTCTGTATTTTATTGCTGCTCTCTTGTTTAACTTGATAGACCCATTTTGGTATTTGCCAGTAGAGTTTTTCCTCCAAAGCTCAGAATTTTGAAGTCTTGCCTTCATTCTATTTGTTTTGCAGGGGAGTTTGGTCTATTGGCTGACTAATAGTTCGTTGACTCTCATTCAGGTTAGTCCTTGCTCTTTGTTTCTTACATATAGAGGAACCATTTGCCAAAATGCTGGAGGTTTTATTGCGTGTTCTGGTGCTGATATTCCCAAGGATGAGTTTGATTTGGATCGGTGTTCCCAAGATGAATTTGTTAATTAGATCAAAAGTTCCTTTTGATACAAATATCCTCAATAAGAAATGAGATATTTTCCAATAGACGTCCACTTTAAAAAAAGTATTAGGTTGATAAACCGATGTATCAATGGCCGAAAGGCTATGCAATCTGGAGATTAAAAGTGCAACATGGACACGTTGATATGACAATTTTCAAAAAGTGCAGGACACAACACATGCAAAAAATGTATAATTATATATATTTTTAATGTCAATATGAGTGTTTCATTTAAATATAATAAAAAAGGAACATGCTACTAATTCCTAAAATCTAAACGAGGAAGGGTTAATATGTATGCATTCATATTGTTTTCTTTTATCGTTGGATTCCAAGTTATTTTTTTTCAAAATTGTAATGCGTTTTGTGTCTTAACGAGGGGCATGTGTGACCACTAGTGTACAAAGAGTGTCCTAATACCCACTCACTTTTCTAGAGTTGCTCATCACTTTTTTGTTCCAAACCGCTTTCCTATTAAGCCTAAACCAATCGTAAACCCCTCCCTATCCCTTTGGCCTTTAACTTCATTTCAAAAATATCTTGAAAGGATAACTATTCAGAGAATTCTAGTCCCTTTTCTTGGAAGTTGTAGTGACCTACCACTTTGGAACTAATCTTTGGCAGCTTTTTGTAAGGGCAAAAATGCATTTTCAGATGTAGTGCCAGCATGGGGTGGGAATGGGAACAAGACTGAATAGGAGCGTGATGAATTTTGCAAAGCTATAGTGATAAAGGTTTGAAAAAAAAATAAAATAAAACAAGGTTGTGTTGGCTGTCTACCTAACGTAATTCCTCTCCCTTTAGATGTAGAGCTGAGTAATGTACAATGTGAACTTTTCTCATTGTTGGTGAAGCAACAAATTTCTATTGTCGGGCAGCAATGAACCCTGTCTTGTTCCAAACTTGGCCTGTTGTCATGTTGTGCTATAACTTGTTATTTGAAATTTCTGGGGGCAGTAGTGAATCATGGTTGCAACAAATTTTTGCTTTGCCTTTCATTTCATGCTGATTGATTTTCTTTCTGACACAATACTCTGTTTATGTAGTAGTTGGTAATTTTTAAGGTTCATGGTACAGTCTCTGGGATTTGCATCTGTGTATGCCCATTAGTAGGAGTTTAGGTCATCTTTAGCATTTAAATAGTTTTCAAAAACATGTCAAACAACTTTTGCAGCAACTCTCTCTCAACCATCCTGGTGTTCGTGAGAAGTTAGGGCTACCTGACAAGGCGGCTCCAGTCCCTACTGCAAATTGTGAAGAAATGGATACACCTGGAGAAATGCAACCAGATCTGCTAAGAAAGGAGCGAAAAATTCGTGTGCACAATCTGTCTGCTCAAGAACTACTTGCTGTGAGTCCACTGAACATGAACCTCGTGTTTTTAATGCGAGCATTAGAGAGAGCCATTTTCTTATATCTTAATAAATGGGACTTTTACAGTTATCTGTCCAACTCTTGGCTAAAGGTCATAAAGATAGAGCAATTCCATTGCTACGGTAACATCCGTCTTCCTCATAAGGTACATAGCTTTGTCTTATGTGGTTGTAATGTGCAAGTAACTTAATATTACAGATTGGCACTTGAAAAGGATCCCAATTATGTGCAAGGCTTGGTTGTTATGGGACAGACACTATTGCAAAGTGGACAGCTTGCAGAGGCTACCGAATACTTGGAGCGTGCCATCTCCAAGGTTTGTATTTTGAATTCTTTAGTAAATTGCAGTTATATTACTCTTAATCTTTCTTGGAGTAGAGCTTGCAAAATGACTATTTTTGTTGATCATCACAAACACTAGCTCCTTTTGATTTGGTTAGGAGCATTCAAAATTTGCATTGTTTGCCCCCTTGCTAATCAAAAGATTATATAATTTTTGCCAGCTTTTTCTCATTGGCCATCCAACAGAAGTTGAGGAGGTTGATCTCTTGATTCTCGCTTCTCAATGGGCAGGCATTGCCTATATACGTCAGGTGAAGTTTAGTAATACCAGCACAACAATAATTATGCTCCTTTTGTTTGAATTGAAAATATTTTCTGCATTTTCTGGCATTTGGTACAACAGAAAATAAAACTCAACAAAAAGCAAACCTATAATTTTAAAGGTAGAAAACTTTTTTCGAATTAAAGTTTTATTAATGCCACCATACTACCACTGCCACCACTACCTCCACAATGCCATTGTCGCTACCACCATCACCCAAACACCACTAATACAATCATTTGTATGGCAGGAGAGATGTGCAGAGGGAATCAAACACCTTGAAAGAGTTGCAAATTTGAAAGAGCCGGAGGATTCAAAGAGCAAAGCCCATTACTATGATGCATTTATACTGCTTGCGAGGTATGAATTGGGTGTGATCTATTATTGGTCTTTTCACATAAACACATACGCCTTTGCCTTACTAACATTGAATAGGGGATCAATTGGCCTTTTCAGTGCTTTATACAAGGAAGGTCGCAAGGCTGAGGCTGCTAAGTATTTGCGCATTGCAGTTGTTTATGATTCTGCTTACAATGTATACTTAGAACAATGTGAAAAGGACGATGATGAATTTGTTGGTGATCTTGTCAGCAGCAGGAGGAGAGATTACTAATTTTCTAGTCCTTCTAAAATTAATTTGTTCTTTTCTTGTTGATTTCACCTTCTGATTGATTTGCATCTTGGAATAAACATAAGCATAAAGGGATAAAAAGCCACCCTTTCAGTTTTGTATGATTTTACTATATTTACATTTGTATTTCTATTTATTCATTTATTTGTTTTGTATTATTAGTACTAGAGGTTTAATGGTTGAAAGACATTCTGAGGTTTCGTGGGAAATCATAATGGATTACCCAAATTGGTAGTGTTTGTTTGGAGGGTATGAAAGTCAGTTAAAATGCAACTTTATAGATTATGTAATTCCAATTGCAGACCAATGCAGTTTATCTGTGTTATCATTAATAGATATTTACAATAGAAACCATTAAGTTTGCATAAATTGGATGGATAAGCATGATAGAGTTGAGACGGCAGGGGAAGGGAGTATCTATCATGTTTATGAATACACCACTATTCCTCACTTTCCCTTAAGGCGGGTATATGCTCAATAACTATCTAGTAAATGTGAGAAGAAGGAAACTAACGTAACTGAAAATAAATATAATGCAGCAAAGATTTTCACTTTCTGCGAGCTGGCTGCTGCAACAAAGAACTTCAAGCAAGAATGTCCATTGGGTGAAGGTGGATTTGGAAGGGTTGACACTTTAGGGCGGGAAGGTAGGTAACAAAGATCTTTGCCTTAAATTAAACTGATTTGTAGTTGTATTAATATAAAAAATAAAGATAAAAACATTGTTCTGAATTGATGTGTTCGTATTTTTATGTGGAATTATAACACACTTGAGCTTTAATTTTTGGGTTGTGGTGAATAGGTTGTGGCGGAGATTAGAGGCTTCTGGTGTATGCAAGGAAACAAGGAGTTCGTTGTTGAGGTTTTGGTGCTGAGTCTCTTCCATCACCCAAATCTGGTACACCTCGTGAGATATTGTGCTGACGAAGATTAGAGACTTTTGGTGTATGAATATATGCCAATCGGTTCTTTGGAAGATCATCTACTCGGTACTCGTTTCCTTTTCGTATCTTCTTTCAAAAATTTTTTTACTGTCATATCTAAAAGTACATTGATATTTATAAAGACAGTAACTTTTTATTTTTCTCTCTTTGCTCTGGTTTTACACGGTTGTGAGCCTGCATGCCAACGTGAAAATATCTGTGCTTACTTGAACCTCTTGTCTGTTCTTCCTCCTTTATTTTTATTATTTTTTAAATTATACAAAGAAAGTGTAAATTAATTAACTTTGTGCTTTATGCTTGCTTGGGGTTGTAGGTATTAACTTTTTAATTAGTATGAAATGAAAAAGTGTTGATGTATGTTTGAAAATAATGTAATGAAATAATTTGATAGCATGATTTTAAATATTATGGACATTTCAGAAGATGAAAAGCCGTTAGATTGGTTGGCAAGAATGAAAATAGTTTCAGGTGCTGCTGAAGGTATGGAGTATTTGCACGAGAAGACAAACCCTCTTGTTGTATATCGGGATTTAAAATCCTCAAAACATATTTTTGGATGAAGATTTTAATCCAAGACTCTCTGATTATGGGCTTGCTAAGTGTAAGAAATAATGTATAGAGAAAGAGAGAGAATAAATTGTATGTATTATTATTGATTGATATATTGATATCTATTACAATGATTCATGATTCCTATATATAGAAGAGGGTGAGTGTGTAGTAGGTAAGGAGTAGGTGAAGTGGAGGTGGTAGTGGTGTAGTGGGGTTTAGTGGAGTAGGTGAGGTGGTAGTGGTGTAGTGGGTTAGGTTTAGTGGAGTAGGTGAGGTGGTAGTGGTGTAGTTGGTTAGGTTTAGTGGAGTAGGTTTAAGTGAGTGAAGTAGGTGGAGAGTAGGTGGATTTTAACACTAAGCTTGGACTTGGTGATTGGTTGGCAAGAATGAAAATAGTTTCAGGTGCTGCTGAAGGTATGGAGTATTTGCACGAGAAGACAAACCCTCTTGTTGTATATCGGGATTTAAAATCCTCAAAACATATTTTTGGATGAAGATTTTAATCCAAGACTCTCTGATTATGGGCTTGCTAAGCTTGGACTTGGTGGCAGAACAGAAAGAAAATGATTATGATTTCTTACCATCATGTTTGGATGAATAAAAGAGAAGAGAATGTGATTTCTCACCTATCTTATTTGGATAGAGTAAATAACAAAAAAGAAATGAAAGAGTTATACCTCATTTTACTAAGATAACCTTCTATATTAATAAGTTATATTTTTTCATAAGAGTAATTTTGATATTTAAAAAAAAAAAATTATTAAACCCGATTCTTCTTTTACTTAAATCTCATTATTTTTAGTGAGAAACAAAACTGAAGTTTTGTAATAATTCTTTTCTCACCATCTATCACAATTTCTCACACTTTCTCACCCTACTTAACTATCCAAACAAACAAATAAGTGAAAGAGTATCCATTCACCCTCTTTCTTTTTGTTTCGCAGCAAACCCCTCCATGGAAACGGAGTCTTGGGGCTTCTTATTAGTGTGATATCTAAGTTTGGTATTGTACGCGATGCCATTGCCAGCAATGGCAGCCCCGAAGCTCTTACTATCAAAGCCTCTTCGTCGTCGCTCTTCTCCAACTCTTTCTTCCCTAATCTCTTCTTCTTCTTCTGTCTATTCTTCCCGCATTTCTTCTCATTCAAACCTCTTCGATCAATCTCACAACCTCACATCCCCAAAACACATTCTTCCTCTTCCACCATCGACTCTGCACTTGCTCTCTCCTCACTACAATTTCTTGTGTTTCCGCTTTTTTTCCACTCGTGGCTCAGAATTCGGTTCAAGTTTGCGGTTTGCTAGTGCTGGTGCTAGTGCTGGTGGTGATGGTGATGGTTCGGAAGTTGCAGAGGTGCTGGTTAATGCCTCTGCTTCTGCTGGTGATGTCAACATTGCGGAGTTGATTCTTTCTGTTCGTGCAGTGGTTTCGTTGCTTGATTATTGCCATGACTTCACTGGATTGCCTTGGTGTGTATATTCACTTCTGTTGAACACTCAGGTTTTGTTGTTGTGAAAATTAGGTGGAATATGAAAAATTTTAATTTGAAAATGGAATTGAGGAAATACAAAGTAACCATAATTTGATTCTTATAGGTTTTAGTTTGAAGGATTGAATTAAAACAAAATTTGTCTTATTGTGTTTGTTAGAGATTGTGGGAGGGAGGAACATTCAAATCTAGGGTAGGTAGGGTAACGGGGGTGCACCCAAAAATTTTATAAATTGTGTATTATACTAATAATTAGTAAGATAATTTCAAACTAGACTAGTTTCGTACCCTCAAAATTTCAATAGTTTGCACCTTAAAAATTATAAAGATTCACAACCCAAATTATTTACATTACAAAATTTTAAAAATAGTTTCCAAATTGAGGTTTATCAAATATTGATGTATTCTGTTTGTTCTGTGTTATTTGTTATATTTTTGTATTATTTAAGTTACTTATATTCTTCTATTTGTTCTTATTTGTTACTATTCTTGTTTTATGTTAATATGTCATTTATGTTGTTTTTTTTTTCTTTTTTCTTTTTTCTCCTATAAATCGCACTTTGCTTATGTACCTCATTTTGTATTCATTCCTCTGTTAGTTCATTCTCTAGAAATAGGAATATTGTGCAGAAATGAAAATATTGTCTACTTTCAATGTGTCATTCTTAAAATTGAGTTCATAAAATTTAATACAATTTATTAAAACGAATTATCATTTCACTCCTAAAAATATGCATTTTCAACCATGAAAATTTTCAAAACTAAACTGCGTAATAGGATGTAAAATGATTTTGTAACAATTTATTTGATCACATTTATTGAGAAAGATGTAACTTAAGGTTTTCTATTATAGATGTTTATATATATATATATATATACTACAAAAAGTGGTGATTATATGTACGATTATATTTTTGTTCTCAATTATGTAGAAAAAGAATCAAGGAAGCACGGGTGCAGGTACGAGTACGGTACGGGTACGGGTACGGGTACAGGTGCGGATACGCCGATACGGTAAAATTTAAAAAAAGTATGATACGGATACGGCTGCGATACGCCGATATATATATATATATATATTTATATATAATTATGGTTAAAGGATTCAACCTACAAATTAAAATTAAATATCATAATTAAAAAGAGAACTACTCATTTTCTTATAATTTAAAATCATTAAGCATTAAAAATAATATTTGTGAAATCTCTCACTTTGACATGTTACGCACTGTAAGTTTGTGATCATAATTTATTTTTAAAATCGTTCTTTTTGCTCATTAATTTGCTATTTTTATAGGGTGAGACCAAATTTTCAATTGAGGCAGATTGTCAATTGCAATTTGCATAATCCATAAAATTGCATCATTCTCAACCACTACTAATCAACTAAAACCGTATCAATTTTTAATGTTTTGTGCATAAACTTTAAAAGTTTGTTATGATTAAAGATTTTATAAAGAAATTTTAGGAGGATTTGAAGCACAAGTATAATGCATAGTCATACACAGAACTGTCCTTTATAAGCCTTGTTATTTTTATTTTTTTTTGTTCAAATTGCTTTTTAAAAACATCAAAATCATTTGCTGATATGCTTATACAATTCATACAAATAGACAGGACAAGGGAGAAACATCAAAATTGCTGATCTGCAAGGGCACCAAAAAAATAAAAAAAATTGCTGATTTGCAAGGGCACAAAAAAAAAAAAAAAAAAAAAAGACATTTATAGCAATTATACAACAATATAAACATATAATAATAGTGTTATATACAATTATATAAGAAGTGTCCGTTGAAAAGTAGTCGACACATATCCCATACCCTTGTCCGAGTGTCGGGTGTCCAACACGGGTATTTCATTTATTTTGAAGAGTCCGTGTAACATAGCCGGTAAGTATCCGGTACTCGTACGACACTATTTTTGGAGTACCTGTGCTTCATAGCAAAGAATGTTTGATTAATAGTAATATTATTCACTTTTTTATGCTGGTATAAATCAAAATTTAAAATTTTTATAATAATATTTTTCGATAAAAAGTTATATGTATTTTTGCCCGCCCAAAGTTCGAATCCTAGATCTGTCCCTGCATTCACTAGAACTAGACAAATAGAAATGTAGTTAATTGTTTAATTAGGGACAAAGAATACTTACTCAGGGTAGCTGCGTTACATGGACTCTTCTATTCTCCAAAGTACAAAAGTTGTGAGATATGTGTCTGACGCCATATTCAATTTAGACACTTGTATCTGCTAATTTTTTACATTGTCTGAAAAAGAAGAAACTAACATTTGTTGGTAAAAAAAAATTTATAGTCTCACATATGATAGATGGAACAGATAGAAATTC